TTCTTTCTTGCCATGTGCTTTCTTGAATTTTATGTCATGTCTAGATTTCCATCGAGACAACCAACCATCCATAGCTTTAAAGTCATCGTGGCCCAGCTTTTTAGCAAGTTCTTCTGCTTTGCATTTTAACATTGGACCATTTACTCACACAGATCGTCTAGTAACAATGGCAAACCATTCATTAAGAGCCTCATCGATGTATTGATCCGTTTTTTGGAAGTTCCTCCTCGTCCTTCATATTGTGCCCATTCTTCTCGCAGCTTGTTTTATCAATCGCAAAATTGTAGTCTTTGCCAATCCGGTTATTTTCCACCAACCAACGCTGACTAGCGTTTTGTGGTTGTTGCTAGATCTTATCCAGGAAACCAATTTTTTCATCTAACGTCAAGTCCCGTCATGGCATTTGGGCAGGGGAGACAAGACACATGCGCAGTTCACTGACTAAAGTGTTCTGAAGAAACCTTGGTGTTTTGGGTTCAAGATGTTGAGGTCAAGAGAGAGATAAAATACTTGCCATTCAAAGCTTTGGCAATAAAATCATCCCAAAAAGGTGATGAAATGATAGCTTTCTCGTGTAAACTTTAATCATGATTGACAGGCGGGAATTCCTTTCAGGTGGAACCGGACACTCTATTGTTTATTTCCTCGAAACTCGGAGCTGCAGGTCAAAGAAGGGTAAAAGAAAATGGTGCGCGTGTTCACCTCCCACCGGTTTTGCTTTTGTCATGCATTTTAAGGAATTCCTGACCTTTGATAAAGCATTTTCCTGGGGAGCTTCCCTACGTCGCAGACCACCTGTACATCCACTGTACGCGGCCGACTTGTGGCTTCTGTTTCTTATTCGCTCTCACGTTTTTTGGTCCTATTAAACGGAGTTTTGGTCCAAATAAGTGAATAAATATTAGGCTTATGTTCATAGGATTTGTTTCGGTTCTTTAGGATTTGGTCTGAAAAAGCGGCTGGTCCAATTAACCAAATTCGACTGTAATAATTTTTATAACATTTCAAATGAATAATTTCCCTCGCTATCCTTCCAAATGTTGGACCTTTTTAATAGCACTTTTCAATTTTATCACCCTAAGTAAATATATTGCTATTTAGTCCTTGAGAAACAAGCTGAGATATTCAGTTACTCTATTAGACAAAGAACACAGCTTTGATAGCAATAAATCATTTTGAAAAAAGAGCAGCAAGGTCATACTTTTGTTCAATTAAAAATATGATTATTTCATCTTTTAACACGTTGGCTGCTGCTCTCATTTTACGTGGTTTGCCCATGGCGCCAATATGATTTTTTTTTACTATGCAATGTATATTATGTTGAAATATTATCTATGGAAGATAAGATGTGTGTGATTATGGCAAAGCCTCAAGGGCTATCTGCCTAAGAGGAGGGATGCCTTCGTGGAGGACTTTCTAATTGAAACTGGCTCGTATATACGTTACACATGGGGAAAACCACGAAAATGCCCATGCAGCCAAGCCCGTTCGCGGGTTTCGAACCTCGGACCGAACTACCAGTGTTCAGCGATTTTACCGCTCAGCCGCTGGTGGGTCGGAAGGTAAGATGAGTTATATAAATGTGTTTAATGTATTTTTTGTTGTGGGGGTCACCAGTGACCTTCAAGGCACTGTAGATAATTTTTGCGATTTGTTATTCTTCAAACCATTATAGTAACAATGGTGTTATATAAAAAATTTATCAGTATCGATATTTACTCTAATTATGTATTTTTACTATTGGTTGCATCGCCGGTCACCAGTGGCTCCCACAGCGCCGTAGCTAAGTCGAGTGCCAGCCACTGGTGACTCCCACTGCAGTCAACATCTTAATAATAATCTCCTTGAACTTCACCCTGTTGACATCTATCTTACATCAGCATGTAATAATAATTTTTTGTATATGGAATCTATGTTTTATGGTTATTAAAGGCATGGCTTGACATCTATCTATCTTACATCAGCATGTAATAATAAATTTTTGCATATGGAGTCCATGTTTTTATGGTTATTAAGGGCATGGCTTTCAATAAAGTTTATAATTTTGACAGCATCCTGAAGCATACGTTCTTCCAAAGAACAACAGAATAACAATTCTTCATTGATGTTATCTTTAGAATTGTAACCTACATGTATGAAAAACTTAGCTATCATTCAAATATCAGTTGTTTCTTCGAACTCAGATGTCAGTTTATGGTTTTCTTCAAATCTAGTAATAATTTCCTCAAATCAGCCATTGCTAATTTCAGAAATTTTATTGGACTTCACTTTCCAAACTTCATCACCATATTTACTTCCATGAAGTATTTCTACAATTTTAAAAGTGGTAGGTAATACAAGACCTTCTCCATTGGTTAAAGTCATTTTATTTTTAGCAATCAAATATGAAACTTCAAATGATATGAGAAATTATTTTTTACATGAATTTCTCAAAATATTTTTATTCTTTATTTAAAGATCTTAACGGTCATTTTAAATATTCTTTTGGTTTATTGACTGACAAAGGATTCTTGAATTCAACTTACCTTTTTAGTTTTGATGGTTTCATACTCTCCATAACCATAACATTATTACAAATTTTGCAAAGAGGCTGTGCATAAGCATCACTTGGAGAAATATCTCATCATATTTGTTTTCTTTTCACATCCTTGATGCATTTTTTTATTACTATATTTGGCTTGAAATGACTTAGTAGCATTACCATATGCGTCATTACTTTTTTTACACAAATTAATCATTCATCCAGGAGTAATTTTTTTTTAAATAAAATAACTTCTCTCATAGTAATTGTTTAAATACCAACTTTAGTCCAATAAAACAGTAAAAATATTTGTTTTGTATTATTCTTCTGATAACACAGAAACAATTTACTATATTGGAAAAATGTTATCACAGTTGCAGTGGGGCCCACCTCATTCTCAGTTATCACTAGTTGCAGTGAAGCCCACCTCATTCTTGGCCAGCTTGTGAGTTGTAGGACGATATATACAGCCCGTTTGTAGTGCATATTTTGATTCTGAAATAACATATATACTGAAATTGCAACGTGACAATGTTGGTATAATGTGCTTTGTGGTATTTTTAAATATATAAATATAATTTACATTTTAACTGGACCAGTATTACAATTTTATAAGTGCACTGTACAGAAAATGTAATACAGTACAAAGTCCATAATCCGGGCTCTTCGGGACTTCGGCGATTCCGGATTAGGGGTTTTTCTGGATTATAAATAATCAATTTAAATCTGGTAAGATGGCATGCAGAAATTATAGAATTAAAAATATGAAACCAAAATTTATGAAATAAAGAGCAATTATGATCAAAATTTACAAAAAAAAAAAGGGGGGGGCTTAATATTTATTTGTTTACTTTATTAAACGTTTCTTTCAACGTAAGTTGTTTAAGTTGCTTCGTTTTTTGTGCTAATACTTTCTCTTTAATTCTATAAACAGACATAATTTCTTGTTCAGTTACAATGTTCCACTGTTCGAGTCCTGTAATTGCTGTGTCGAGAATACCGACTAGCTTGTCAATCAAAATTTTTTCATTTTCAATAACCTCTCTGTCACTTTCTTCACTATCGGAAGCGGTATTTTCTGGATTTAGAACCATACCACAGATTTCGTCATCCGTTCATTGATTGTTGATTGGGGCATTGTCGTCGCAATGAAAAAATTCTGTTATATCATCTTCATTTATTACTGCTTCTCCACATTTCTTTACAAAATCCAGTAACTGGAAAATTTCACCTTTAGTTTGCGATGTACAAAAACCTTCAAATTCGTGGCTATCATCTTCATCATCCTCACCATGAAATATGGTAGCTGGCCATAAATTATGCCAAGCATTTTTTAACGTATCTGGAGACACATTCTCCCAACACATCGTAAACGCATTACACGCATGCGTAAAGAATACAAAAACAAAAAAAAACACGTTTGTGGCGTTGAGGTCTGGATTACAGATCATTCCGGATAATGGACATCCGGATTAAGGACTTTGTACTGTATATAAAATTAAAAGTAATGAAGGGATTGTGACTAATATTTTTTTTTAATTCGTATATTTGAAATACAATTTTTGTGAGCCTAACATTTTGGTTGGCACTTTCATTAAGGGTTGCCACCCATAGTTTAAAAAATGGTGGTCTAGATTCTTGGAGTACTTACATGCCTGCTAGTTATTTTCTGTTTGGGTATTACAGTTGTTCTTATACATTACAGATTTAGTGTATATTTTAATATATTGTATTATTGTCAGAAACAGCTTAAAACTTAAGTATTTCTGTCTGTTCTTTGTTGGTAAATGCCTCAAAGTGTAATATGCATGAAATAATAAAAACTATTAAATTTTTTTAATCTGTTTCTTATTGGGGACTTTTTTGTTAATGGGGTGCTGCTTAATGCCAAACATCAATGTTTGTGCCCAAATCTAACTAGATGGTGGCAACCGTAATGATACATGAAGCTTCATGGAAAGAATGAATATTAAACTAAATCCAGGATAAATACATAAATAAGAGCAAATATAAAAGTACAAAAATGATTTTTACTGCTTAATTTTGGATGACAAAGATGGTATCAAACTGCTTGATTTCATTTAACATTGTAGAAAACATTTGCCAATTTTCATTCAAGTTCTACCACATAAATTTGATCAGGTATGAATCAAAGTGATGATGGCCAGTGCTGCTTTGATGTTTATTTCACCATTTTATATGTGGCATCATGTATTAAAATCAAGATCATTGTAGTTAGCTTGCAGATGTTTATTGCTGGCAGCTGCAAATCATCTGCTCAAGCAATTAAAATCTAATAGAAAAATTTCTAGATTCATATTCATTCTTCCTACTTATTCATAACTATACCACTGAACACGTAAACATGATGTGATGTACCCATGCTATCACATTTGGCATACATTTGGTGCCCTGTTAACAGAAGAGTGCCTATTATTGTAATATTAAAATTTTGCATACTGATTCAGTTTTTAAATAGGTATGTTTCTTCTAATGGTCATCTTATAAGACAGAACAATTTAACTCCTTCTCAACCTTTTGGATATCCAGAAGTAGTCCCTATTAAAGTATCTGCATTACAAGTTGCTGTCAGGAAAGGGGTTGTGTGGATTCTGACAATATCTCGGAGTTTGTTTTGTAAAAAATATTCAAAAGGAAAGTTAACATCTCAGTGGAAAGAAATTCAGTTAGTCAAATCTATTTCTTTGCTTTTATAATTTTTCTTAAGCAAATGTGAAATTTAATCTTATTTTTCAGTTTTATATTTCATCATCAAATTATCTTTTTATTTATCCCTTTTTAATGATAGTGTTAATGCTATAATATGTTTTAATTATTCCTGCTATTTTTCTGAACTTGGAATGTTTAGTTGCACTCAAATATTAAATTCGGGAAACTAGAACAAGAACAAACTTATTTTTGTTTTGGCCATGCTGTTAGATATCCCTTAAGATAAGAATTCAACTTTACTAAATATTGATGCTCTCTGTGTATTAAAGTGTATTGTGTTTCCAGAAAATGTTTTGTCATCTTGAATTATGTAAATCTAGAGTAAAAACAGTACGACCTCATCCTCATTCATGTCCATATTATGTGGTGACTGTGCATATTTTAGGGCAGATTGTACAGGCTCATCCCAGCAACAGCATCTGCCTTAACAACTGTTGATGGTAGGTTATCTGCCTACCATGGTAATAACGAGTAACAGGGAATTTGGGTTTGATTCTGGAGAGTAAGCATGAGAAACAGCTACTACATCCAAGGAAGGCTGCATGTGCATAAATTACCCACTCCCAGAATGGGGAGGTGGTGATGAAAAATAACAGTACACTCTCTTTTGAGACCCCCTAATTGGAATAAGTTCACTCTAAATGCTTTAACAATGATCAATTGGAGGGCAAGTTTGGTACTAGCAGCCACGGAAATTCTAGCTCCAGTAGCATTTACTTATTGTTAAAAAGCTCATAGTAGGATCTCAGTTCCAGACGACTGGCCCGCCTACCAGTGGTTACTGCCTCTTCTGAAGAGCCAGCCTGTTTCCTTTAATGATCTTCACTGCCTATCTTGGGTGACCCTCAGGTTTACTTTGAAAAATTAAGAGTGCTCAAAGCAGGTATGATGCTTGAATAATGGAAGAGGACCTTGGTTCTGTTTTGTTAGTTCTTGAAAATTCAAAGTTACATTTTTTTTTATATTTGATTGACTAATTAATGTGTTCAAATAAGAGAGGAAATTTCTTATTATTCTTGTCCTGTTAATTTTATTAAACTTAATTTAAAAACAAAATTTGATTTAATGGGTGTGTTTGCACATTTTTAGATAAAGAATTAAGAAAAATGCTTTGGAATAAAAGTTTTTGGCAACAGCTTATTATTTGAAAGGAGAAATACCATCTGCTACTTTTAAATTTATTCTTTTTCAAAATGTCACATGTAAACGAGCTGTGGATTGAAGGATATGTTTTTACACTTTTAAAAGAGAAATATTCCTATTCCTTGACTAAAAAAATGTTGGGAAATGAATAGCATTAAAATGTCTAAGTGCAAAATGAGCAGCATTATTAATCAGAAAATTAAAAACCGTCAATCATTATTTCTACATGGAAAAAAGACTTCAAATGAATACCCAAAAAAGGTACATACTGTTTTTAATGTTTCTAAGCTTAAATCCTTGATAACAACAACAACAACAACAAAAAATGCTGATGCAGAAATCAAATGCAAAGCCTATAAATACATCTTTTATACTTTAAATACATGTAGCAGCAGTGAATAAATAAATTTACAACTTAAAAAAGCTAAAAAATATTATATTGACCAGCTTTCCAGCTTTTGTCGAGGCACGTTCCTCAACGCAGAATAATTTGTAAAACCATCATTGAAAATTCTTTAGCAGGAGATAAATGGAAAACATTGTGGCTTTTGATGAAGCATGGGTTTACCTAAATGAAAGGACAAAAAAGGTCTATTTATTATCAAAAAGGAAGAGAAAAAGGTTTCAAATTAATCCATCAATGTAGAAAATGTTTTGGGTAAGGGGTTTTTGGCTGGCGTACTGATGTTGATGAGGCCTGCCCATGAGAACTTGTGGAAGAAGTATATAATCACTCGAGAGCTTGCTAAGGAGATAGACGTTAGTGCCACGTCTATTAGTCTGTACTATGCATTGCATAAACTTGACGTACAAGTTCAAACACTAGGTGCCACATAAGGTGACTTGAGCAGATAAGGACAGACATGCTCGGGCCTGTACTAATCTGCTAGAATATCAACGCAAGTACAAAATTCTGGATTAAACATTTATTTAGTATGGAAAACGCAAATGATGTTACGAAATCTGTTTATGTGAATTTCCTGAATTAATATGTGGGTTAAGAAAATATAAGGGTTGAGCAGGTAACAGTACACTCATTTAGTACAGAAGGAAAAAAATTAATGAAACATAACTTTTTATCAGATAAGGAGGGAATTGGCCAGTTCCTAATTTAATGATATTACCCAAAAATGTTACTTGTAAATATATTTTCTGCAAGGTAATAACATAGAATTACTATCTAGTGAAAACTATAGAGAGTGGTTGACACTGGGGAGGACACAATAATAAGGTAATTTAACTAGCATATATTAACACATATTATCCATTACAAGAATAGGCATAGTAAAAATTTTAAAACCGTATGCAACTAGAATAATTTAAATATGAATAAGATATATTTTTAGACATGATTTTCTTAACCCTCATATTAATTCAGGAATTTCGCATGTTAGTCACTACAAACAGCATTATATGATTAAGATAAAGTTTATTTATGAATTTTCATTAAAAAAAAGATTACACCAGGGGCAATTGAGACATTTCGGTCGAAGGGACCATTGAGACAATGCAAATACTGAAGCAGTGCCCAACCTTGCCACTCTCTTCATAACCTCCATGACTGCATCATACCAAATCTGTGAAAACAAAGTGAAGAAATAAGGAAATGCAGGACAAGGAAAATTAATCAGAACATTTTCTTACTTCTGGTGGATCTTCAGATAGTGTAGTGGCTCTCACCTTTCTCACCATGTCTGTTTCCATCTAACTTTTTCAACATTCTTCACTGAGTAGCAGACAGCACCTTCTCTTCTACAGCTATCACCAAAGACATGATTTTCGGATGAGGTCTAGGCTCCGTATGCCCTACCCATGCTTTTCTTTTCTCAATGCTGAAACATTTCCCCATTCTCATCCAGTAAACTGAAGAGGGTCACCATCCACGGGCCTAGGGAAAGCGTTGACAGGGAATCTACCAGAAATTGGCCCATATCACTCCTTTTTCCTCATCTCCAATAATGAGCTTTAAGCCTTCTAAGGACTCCAGACAAGATCAACAACTCTGTCAACCCCTCACTCAAGTAGCTTCCAACTTTCCATGTTTGATATATATATGTATATTTTATAAACAAGACATTCCTAATGCTAGTCACTTCACCAGCCCCAATTTATCAGCAACACATGCTGGAAACTCCAGTTTTCTCCCCCAGTGGAAAAACCATTGCAGAATAACAGCCCTCAATTTCTAGTCTCTCTGAAGAGTCCCTTTTCTACCCAATTTTTTTTTTTTTTTTTTTCCAGCCACATGGAAATAAAAACCTTGAACAGAAAAACTTCCCTTCCAGCAGATGACAGATAAATTCAGGAATTCAGACAATGCTTATACTTTTGAACAATTCTATGTACCAAATTCTATCTATTACATAACAGTTTTGTTCAATTAAAAATTGTTGAAATTACCACCTGAGTCAGAAAATAAAGATTCAATAATTTTACAGGAAGAAAGGAAAATTTAAATTCAAATTAAATTAGCTAAACAATTAAGTTTAAACACCAATCAGTGTAACAGAAAAAAAAATCAAAATTTTAAATTAATAAACCTTAAGGGTCATCCAAACCAACTATCAATAAAGTCCAAACAAACTAAATTAAGTTTTTCAAACAGAAATTAAATTAGTTAAGTTTCTCCTTAAAAGTTAATTAGATTAATCATTACCAAAATTAAGTAAATCACTTGCAGCACAAATCAAAACTTTAAATAACCACTTTAAACAAAACTATTAAGTTACAAAAATTAGTATTAATTAGTTGACAAGTTACACAACAGAATTAGTAGCCAACTACTGTAAAATAATGTAACATGAGTGTATTTATTCATATATTTTTTGATGTTCTGTAATCATATAATTATAAAACTAATTATTCATAATTATTTGAATAATTATGATATTTATGAATACTGCATTGTTGTAATATGAATACATGCATAACTTTTTATGTTAATAATTTTCAGTTTTGTACTTTGCAATCCAAAAATATTATATTTTAAGAATAATGCATATTAATTCAGAATTTTACTGTTATCTTTGTAATAAAATTTTGAAATTAAATCATTTTTGGCATTATACATTTAAAGTGTAAAAAGGTAGACTTGTTATAATTCTTCCAGTGTGTTTGCAAATGCTTTTGCATTATATCTAATTCCTCCCTTTCAATGGCTTAGATTGCAAGATATTCCTCCAGTTGATAGCATTTATCTAGGAAATCAACAAACAGGATGGATTGTGGACCAGAATAATGCTATATATTTTATGATCGGGGTGACACCTGAATCTCCAGAAGGCATAGGAAAACCATGGGAGGTATAATGTTTCTTGTCTTAAAAATTGGTTTAATTCCTAAGTGATAATAATGGCTTATCTTTGGCTTCATTCACTGAAAGGTTTAATTTTTTTTTTTAAATTTTATTTACTTTTTTTTTTTTTTTTTTTTTTTTTAAATTTGACAGTAAAGAGAGCAGTTGAATGGCATTTTGTTAGTATAATGTCATTTTTTAAAAAGAGTGCAATGTTTGACTATATTGCTTGATTGTGATCTTAAGTGCACTGCTCTTTTGAATTTTATAGTATTAAAATAAACATACAAGGTAGTATGTAACATTACATTCACAATACAGCCTTTGTTTAAAATATTTTAAGTTATGTTATGGAGCTTGTGATAATTTGTAGTGTAACACTACATTTTTCCTTTTAACTTGAAGAACTATTTAGAGAATGTTCACGAGCTGGAATACTGTTATTTTTCAGGCTTTCTGAAACTAGTATGGTGATAAAACCATTTACTCAATTAAAATTTTGTTCATGCTGCCTTTTCATTTTTGTTGTTAATTTTTAGTGATGAAATACACCTTTTTTGATAGCTTAGTGGCTGACATTTTCTATATATTTCTTTTTATTACTCTAAATAAATAGTTTATCTAATTTTGCTCATTGCTTTAATATTATTACTAATTTTTATAATTTATTATAGATGTAAAAATTATCAATCAGAGGACTCATAATTCTTGAAAAGATTGAATAAAAGCTGATGCAGCAGATGAAACTATGGTGTTGCTTCAGAATAAAATTTTAAGGTTTAAGGGAGTAAACTTAATTGAGGAAAGGCAAAAGATGAAAAATAAAAACTAGCAGTTTTTCTTTTTTTAGTGGGGTCAGTAAAATTGAAGCCTCGATTTGAGAGAATAAAGGATACATGTATATATGATGCTTTTCACCTGAAGGAAAGACATTAAAAAGAAGAAATTCAATAACAGTTTTACATTTAAAGGCTCTTAATAATTTATCAATACATTTAAAAGCTTTTAATAATGAAATATTGGCTAGCTTTTTTCACAGTTTTGCAAATCTTTTTATTACCTGGTGTATTCAAAACAAAATAACAGCATTGGTAACTCGTAACTACTTTTTCAGTATCTTTAAATATTCAGCATTTGATTATTTAAAGGAAATAAAGTTCTAAGCTTTTAATTTTCTATGCAGAGCGAATCTGTTTCATTTTCCTATTATTTGCATGACATTCTTGGTGCTTACAAACTGAGCCAGTACTTTTGGCTGCAACTCAAAACAGAAATATAAAATTAAAACTAAATTATCAGCCAAAAGCTGCACAGAGATAATTAACACGAGTTGGCTCTGAACCCTGCCACCAATGTACACAAACAGGCAATTAATATGCATGGCTATAAAATACCAAGCTTAAATTCATGAAACAACATGGCCAAGTGGCAGAACATGCTCTGCCTGAAGTAGCTCAGGCACCAGCTTAAATCTCTCTATATATCATGCAAAACTGAAGTATCATTTTAGCAAGAAATGGAAATAAGGGAAGATAGAAAAGATAACAAAACTGATTAGTTTTTAACTAAATAGTTCTTTACAAGTTTTTGTAAAATATACTTATTTTTTGCTAACTTCAGTAAGCTCTCTTCAGATACATACACTTTAAAATTTAAATGCTTTTCAATTTCTTAATAGTTATGATTATTTAAATAACTAATAAATTCTTAAAAACTGTGTAATCATCTGTGCTGGTAATTGATAGCATATTATTTTAAGCATCTTGCTCGAAAGAGCACTAAGCATTTTTACTTGAAAACACATTTCAGCTCTTATTCTTAAAATGATTTTTATGTTGATATAATTTTTAGGATTGTTAAGTTAAGGCAATAATTTTCTGTTTTATTAGTTTTAAATTTAAATATTTTGTGACATTTTATTTTCAGGTATGTTATTAAATTTTATTCCATGCAGGTTGAAGCAAGCAATTATTTATTCCAACCTCCTGCTCAACTTCCAGCTGCTGTTCTAAAGGCTCTTAACAATGAAATGTTAACTAGCTTTATTAGAGGAAAGCAACATCTTTGCTTATCGGCTTCAGTATCTGGTGTATGGTTTTGCAAATCTTTTGATAACCTGCTGTATTCAAATCAAAAGAACGTCATTGGTAACTTGTAATTACTTTTTTAGTATCTTTAAATCATTGTGCATAAAGGGTGATGCAAAAGTAACAAAAATGTAAAAATTCAGTAATTTGAAAACTAGAGATAGCTACTTTGTACAGTTTTCACAAAAATGCATGGAAAGACTTTAAAAAATGTATGTATTGGTAGAATAGTTACATTTTTATTCGTCAATCAGCACTATTTCCTAATTGAAAAAAGTTATTTGCTATCATGTGACAGGAATTGCATTTGAACATCTTAGTGTTTCATACCACATTTGATTAGAAATTGCTATTAATAATAATTTCAGTTTGCTTATAATTCAATTAGATTCTCTTTCTTTGCTACATGCTTTAGCAAACTTAAATCATCCATCTCCAATAGCCCAATAAATGTTTAATCTCCTCTAAGAAAATATCCAAATTAAACTTTCGTTTGGTTAGATGAAAGCACATGCAAGGAATAAAGGAAATGAAGATGCTGATTTCCTTGCTAAAGATGCACCTACTACTCATGATTCTGGATATATGAACTTAAATGGCACCTAGAAAGAGAAGCACATAAGAAATGAAATCAAATGTGGCAGACTGGAATTCTGTTCCCCAAGGCAAGAGGACACATAAACTAATCATTATAATGTATGAAAAAAGATGTCTCAATAACCCCCATTTAAGCCAGTTTATATCTGGACATTGATCCATCCCTACTATATCTAGATATAGATCCCTTGTACTGTGAGAGAAATATCTCTTCTTCAGATGATTGTGTATGTGGCAAAGGAGGATCTCCAGGCACTACCTCTTCTGATGCCCATTAACACAAGCACATCACAGCATTAGACCAACAATAAACTTGACTTCCCAAGATACGTTATAAATAATTCAAAATTTCATCACAAAATCAACATTATTGTAAAGTACCTTTCAGAACAAGAGAGACATCGAACCATATGATGCACCTTCAGTGAGAAGCATCATCTTGACAAGAAGGATATCTGATATGGAAAGCTAATTACGATTACTTACGATCGTTACTTACGATTTAAAATTCTACTTATTATGAAAACATAATTACCCTATTATCAGTTACCAGTTTTTTTCGTAAACTCTTCTTCTAAAAGCATTTTACAACTATGTTACCTCTGAGCTATAACTCTTAAGAAAAAATCTTTATATTAATATGCAAATTCTTAATAACAACTGCATGAAAATGTTTTGGAAAATTTGCTTGGAGCTTCTGTAGAATGCTTCACTGGATCAATAGCAGAATGCGACAGTATGTGCATCACCATATGGTAAAGCCCTGTTGTTCTGTATGTTTATTCATGTTCTGCCATGTCTAATGGTCATTCTTATGAATGACAGTTTTTATGTTGATGATTTGTATTCTTAGCTGCATTATGAACTGTGCTTGCTCTGCTCTGTGTACCAGTGACACAACTGAAGTAAAATCTATTGTTGAAAAATGTAATTATACTGGCAGTAAAATCTTCGTGTATTAAAAAAATCCCATGACTATGCATATCTGTGAAAACCACATTGGGCTACTGTCTGTACTTTTCAAATTATTGAACTATGACATTTTTGTACCTTTTGGGTCACTCAGTGTGTCTTTTCATGTTTTGCTTCAAACATTTATAGGTCATTTATGGGATCAGTTTGTCCCTCCTAGTACTGCATCAGCAACAAAATGGACTCTTATTTCAGTCAGAGGTAGTTTCCAATATCGAGGTAATTTTTTTCCATCTACTTTTTTGTTAATGTATTATAAAATTAAGGTTCCTTCTTCATTATTTTGTTTAAAAAATAATCATGTAAATTAATGTTTTGATTTTAATTCTGTGAAGTAAAAAGATATCTTGTATTTAAATATAACAGTTATCTTAATGATTTAAATAATTGTGCAATTTTTTTCAGGTAATATATGTTTACATAGTCCAAATGTATTTTTATTTATATATCTACTGTTATTTATTTGCTAATCTTAAATTAATTTTAGTGTAGATCTTCCAGAAGGTATCAATTTATTAATGTGTTAGGTACTGTATTATATACAGATAGACTTTGTGTATGTGTAGATCACACAGTTGCCAAATAAAACTACATCAGATAATTATTTATTTTGAATTTTTATAAATATATTCCTACCCATTTTAAGATCATAATAAGTAAATGGTACATGCCAAGTTAAATTTTAATAAATCTTAATCTATGTATAATATGTATAATTATTTTAAGTTTTGATCAAAAATGCTGAAAGTATTTCGAAACTGATGACTTCTTGTCTTCAGCTGCATAAATGAGATGTAATGCCATTTATAATATTTATACCAAGAAAGAAGAGGTAATTTATATATGTGAACATGCTTTTACCTCTTTCTGTATTAAAATTATGTGAAATATGTATTAATAATAATTTGCTAAAATGTAATGGTAGTTTAAAAATTTGATTGTAAAACTAAAATTTCCATTACTTTCAAAATGAGTTATAAGTAGTCCTAAATCAAAATAATGACATATTATTTGGAATTTAAGCCACATTTTGTATTCAGATTTTTAAGACATAAATTTAGTGTGTGATTTAAATTCAAAGTGAATATCTTAATATATTTTTTCTCTGTAAATGTGTACCTTATTATCTTTATATTAGTACCCCTTTAAAAATGCTTATTTAATTCCTATTACAAAATTAATTTATATTATTTCTACGGTTCTAAGATCCTGCTGGGCTTAAACATGAATGTGGCTATTTTTTTATTATTTTTCCCTGTTTTAAAATCCAGCTACAGCTTAAATTTGAAGTAATATAATTCTTTTCAATAAAATATGTTATTACATAGTATGGCCTAAATAAGGACAAAATCATTTTCAAGTTATTGCTAGTTTTTATTAATAGTTAAATATTCGTTTCTTAAAATTGTACACTGCTCAAAAAAAAAAAAAAAAAAAAAAAAAGACGGTTCTATATCTTCCGTTCTACTGGGCCGATTGACAAAATTCGAACTGCGTTTTTCATGTCTCATAGGTGCGACTTAGGATATATATTAGATTTATATACAGCACTATTCTAACATAGGTATTTTGACACAAAATCGGACATTTTCTGAAATAACATACCAATTTCTTTTCCATATTTCCATTCTATGACTCAAATTATGCCAGAATGCCAAGTTTTGTAAAAATCGCACGAGTAGTTTTTAAAATATTAGCTTTCAAAATTTTAGCCCCTCAATGTTAATTGAATTTGGCAAATATTTATTAATCTCTCTTTTTTTTTTATTAAACGTTTTTGATTTTTCTTTTCACATTTCGAAATTTAGGTTCATTCCAAATAAAATTTACCCATTTTTTTTGTTTTATTTTTTAAATTTATATTTTTAAATAATTTTTATAAATTTTTCGAAAAAAATTTTGAATTATAACCTATAAAATTTTTACCAATTTCTTAAAGAAGGTGTATTTCTAAGCATACCGGCAAAAAATCAGACTTTTTTATTCAAAATTTTCTAAGATATACACGAATTTGCATATTTTCACGTTTTTGAAATTTGGCATTTTTTTTTTAGCGATAATAACGCCAAATGTGGTTTATGGATTTTTGTTACAGTGAATTGCAACAGCTATTTTTAACCCTAAATTGCAAATAAAATTTTACGGAACATTAATTATATGAAATGTTTTCCTTCAATGATGCGTAATAAGTAGTTAATACTATATGAAAAGCTATTTTTTTTAAAGTATAGATAATATTATTCAAGTTTTTAACTATTTTTTTAAATTTCTGTTTTTCTTCCTTTTTTTAAAAAAAAAATTGTAAGAGTAAATTTTTATCTTCAGCGTTTTATCGTCTACTACTTTACTTTAACTTCATTTAAATCGAATTGTCTAAAATTGAGAACTTTCGTTTGATGTTTATTTGAATTTTATGAAAATATTTTATGACATTAACTGCATAATTTATTTCTGAACAAGCTGTTGCTTATGAAGTGGCTGAAAGAGCGGCTGATACTATCATCCATATTTTTAAAGCACAGTATATTTTTATAGAAACATAAGATTTAGAATAATCATTTTTTATAAAAGTCCAATTATAAACTGATATAAACATACAACCCTCTAGAGACCAAATTAATGGAAGTTCAATGGTTATGTAGAAATGATCTGCAGCTACTTAATGGCTGGATAAATCAGCAGATTCTGTGGACAAGTAAGAATAATTATATAAACGACACCCAACATTCTGGATTCAATTAACAACGAGATACGATGTTTATTAAATGAATTTTTAAGAAGTTTTTAAAACATAAAAAATCAACTCATTTTTATCCTAAAATGTATTTTTATGCGTAGCGTATTTTCATTATATCCTTAAAATTCTAATTTAGAATGTAATTGTCAAGAACTGAATTCTAATCATCAGTAATATAATAAGTAATTATTACGGTTATTAATAAATCCTTCTTATAAAGTAATTGCAAATATTTCAAAAAACTTTCTGTCTGAATGCAAATATTTCTAATTTTATATTAATCAAGATTGCACACAATATTATTTATTTACACTTTAGTTCTTACCATCAGCTCTAGTAGAAGTTAAAATCAATTATATTTAATTAAGGAATGACCATCTAAGGTTAGAAACAGCGTACGGTAACAGCAGTTCAATTATTGGTGCCGTATGTTTCATGTTACTCACGATTGGCAAGCTGCATGATTTTTAATGAGTATTCGGGTTTTGGTAGTAACTTCATTTGAAAATCATGCTTAAACTAGGTTAGTTGGTTATTTGAACATAGAAAGAACATGGGATCTATTTTGTTAAGATGCTTTCATAGAGAACCTAGAAAACTACGAAAACCAACCATGCAGCCTGGGTTAGACTTCGCAACAATCTTCAATTTAACAATCTTCAAATGCTAGGGAATTGGTGAGGCTCCAATTAAATCTCCAATTTAATATTTTATTTGTAAATATTTAAAATATTGTTGTATTCTTAGACACAAAAAGCAGAATTTAAGTTTTGTTAACTCGTTAGTAAACTACCAAGCCGTAGTGCAAATGAATATTCAATTTCTCTGACAATAATTGTATTCACTTAATATTCTTGGAATATGAGCTAAAGAAGGAACGTTCTCGGAAGATTAAAGAAGTGTTTAAATCCAGTGATATTAGGTTTGTCTTACAAGCTCAGGTATCAAAACGATTCTGCAATTGCCCGAGTAGTTGACTTGTAAATGGCTGTGAATTAAGCAGATGACTTTTAATCTTACGTTATTCAGTCAGAAAACATATTCCAAATGTTTTGTATTGCATGACAATGCATCTTTTCATTATTCAATAACCAGTCGGAGAACCGCTTGTGTTCCGAAAATAAGTATGTATACTCAATCGTCCTGCATGTTCTTCAAATTTGTCTTCTTGTGATTTTTTTTTTTCTTTCCCAAAAACTAAAGTTGCCTCTCAAAGGAAAGTTTTTGACATTGAAGAGACAAAAGGAGTATGACATCTACTTTTAGAGGCATGTCAAAAACAGATCTCTACAAGCCTTCTCTTCCATTACATGTTGTGCAGTCAGACAAAAAGTTGCATCAGCGTAAATTCTATAATCTATTTTTATTACACTCTGATTACTTTATTAACATACAGTGAATATATACTAAACCTTTTACTTCAGCTTCAGTAATTCGGAATTTTTGACGGAATTGTTGTCGGAACTAGGACTTAGAAATCGGAACTAAGACTTATCATGAGTAACATGAAAGATAGGGTCAAATTGAATATTTCGATAATCCAATAAATTCAAGGTTGAAGTTTCAATATTTTATTTTCGGAGGGAAGGGAAATGTTTTTCAGTTTTAGTCCATTTTCCTAAGTATATTTGCTTCGATTCTTTATTTTTTCATAAAAGCAAAAATCTTACGCATGGTATACATATAACGCATAGCTTCAAATTAAAATTTAATAATATACAAGGTGGTTATAATTAAAGTTCCACTTTGAAACGGTCATGAAAGGAAAACTACTACTGGATCAAATGTTATTAAACTTGGATAACCGTGTAAAGGAGGTCATGGAATTTATTTTCTACGAAAAAAAGAAAGTTCGAAACTTCACCACCAGGGAGGAAATGGCGCTGTATGCAATATTGTTAAACGAAATATGGGTCGGAATCTAACTTAACCTTTTGTTACATACGGGTTTAATATGTTGTATACCCTTAAGAAACTTTGAAGTAAGGCAAATTACCATTTAAAGGCGTTAAATTCGATAAAAGTCGAGTGCGCCATCCCTGTGTAAGTGAGAAATTTCGTCCGTGAAAACCACGAATTAGCGATTAGAAAATGTGAGATCGCAAATCACTCTCACACAAGTGCGTACAATCTGGAAATCGTTTTCTTACAGATCGCTAATTTGTAATTTTTTAAGCCTGAATTCGGCACCCTAAAACATGAAGATACTGATTCAAAACGCTTTTAATCGATTTGGGCCAAAGAAATCCCTCATGTTATCTATCCTAGTTCCATTGCATTCTCCTACTGCATTCGATTGCATAGCAGTCATTCCACACCGTTTAGTGTTGAATGACAGCTAGTTTTATAACTGAACCATTTTTCTCTGAAGAGCAGTCGACAGCTGGACCACTGTGATTGCAGCTCACTTAGAGTCAATGTTAAAATGTTTCGTGATACATGAACTGCAGTAACGTGGCATTTTAGATACTAGGATTTTTAT